CATAGTGATATGTTCTAGATGTCATTAACGATATGCGAATGTCCGCTTTCACAATAAGTGTAATGTCACAATGATATTCATTGTGACACAAGCGGACATTCGCATATCGTTAATGACATCTAGAACATATCACTATATATCACTGGTGTTTTTGCTATGGGTTATATTTTGTCCTATCTTTGAATGCATTTCATAATATTTATATAGAGATATAAATTAATTTAATATTATATTATATCCTTTATTTTTTGCTATATAATATAAAAAAAATAGATGAAATAAATGCGATTTACATTAATACCATCATTTCAATGGAAATTAAAGATAAATGACGCTTTTGGATTTTTTTTGTATCGCTATAAATAATATGAAATACATTCAAAGCAGAGCAGAACGTGCTTATGTGTGAAAATATTTCCGATATTTTCAGATATCATTGTGACATTACACTTGGAACACAAGCGGACATTCGCATCTCGTTAATGACATCCAGAAATATAACACTATGATATCACTGGTGGTTTTTGCTATGAGGGAACTATTACAAATTAAATAAAAAATTGGGGTAAAATGTAAAAAACATCATCATTTTCAGAAAATATTTTTCATTAATATTCTATATATATATCTATATACACAGGGTGTCCGGTAATGGTCGCCTCAACCGTCGTGTGCAGGTAGAGTAAGTTAACCGAATAGAAAAGTCCCTCTACCGTTTTGCGATTTTCGCAATAATTATTGTGTTATTAAATAAAAAAGATCGGCCATCTAAGCGCGCGACGAGATGAGACGGCCCCCTGTCACACGATACACGGCGCGCGGCAAAGCGGAGGAGGAGCGAACGCGATGGCTACGAACGGCGCGTAACGCTAAAGCTCCGCGACAACTATTTTCTCTCTTTCCCTTTTCATCTCACTTTCTTTACTAAAACGAATCTTTTTATTTTCAAAATGGCATCTTGATTAATTATTGTAAAGTACAGTTTTTGAAAAATTAATAATCGCATTGACATCATTTTCGACGATGTATCTCATTAAAATTTAACATGCATACAAAGCAAAATAAGAGTCTGATGCAAATCACACCATACACGGAGAGAATTTTCTCTTATTAGAATTTATCCTGAAAATCATGGTAATCGTGGGATAATATGGTGTAGGAAAAATTTTATAAGAGTTTCTCTGATTAATATTTACTACATTAAAAATTATTAATATGAACATAGTAAAATTAATCGAGTACATTTTTTATTTTATTGTGGTAGATATTAATATTTTTATTGTGGTAAATATTAATCAGAAAAATTCTTATAAAATTCTTCCAGTACCTTACTGTCCCACGATTACCATGATTTTCAGGGTAAATTTTAAGAGAAAATTTTTTATGTGTAGTATTCGGATACGTTTTATCAAAATTTACGTTTTTAAAATAATCAATAAATGATAATAACGAGAGAGAGAGAGAGAGAGAGAGAGAGAGTGAGGAACGTTATTATCATAAATGATAACGTTCCTCACTCACTCACTCACTCTCTCTTTCTCTCTCTCTCCCTCTCTCATTATTATCATTTATTGATTATTTAAAAAACGTAAAATTTTGATAGGATGTATTCGAATACTACACAGAGAAAATTTTTTCTTAAAATTTACTCTAAAAATGATGGTAATCGTGGGACAATGGTATTGAAAGAATTTTATAAGAATTTTTCTGATTAATATTTACCACAATAAAAATATTAATATCTACCACAATAAAATAAAAAATGTACTCGATTAATTTTACTATGTTCATATTAATAATTTTTAATGTAGTAAATATTAATCAGAGAAACTCTTATAAAATTTTTCCTACACCATATTATCCTACGATTACCATGATTTTCAGGATAAATTCTAATAAGAGAAATTCTCTCCGTGTATGGTGTGATTTGCATCAGACTCTTATTTTGCTTTGTATGCATGTTAAATTTTAATGAAATACATCGTCGAAAATGATGTCAATGCGATTATTAATTTTTCAAAACTGTACTTTACAATAATTAATCAAGATGCCATTTTGAAAATAAAAAGATTCGTTTTTAGTAAAGAAAGTGAGATGAAAAGGGAAAGAGAGAAAATAGTTGTCGCGGAGCTTTAGCGTTACGCGCCGTTCGTAGCCATCGCGTTCGCTCCTCCCTCCGCTTTGCCGCGCGCCGTGTATCGTGTGACAGGGGGCCGTCTCATCTCGTCGCGCGCTTAGATTGGCCGATCTTTTTTATTTAATAACACAATAATTATTGCGAAAATCGCAAAACGGTAGAGGACTTTCCTATTCGGTTTAACTTACTCTACCTGCACACGACGGTTGAGGCGACCATTACCGGACACCCTGTATATATATATATATATATATATATAGATTAATGAATATTTCTGAAATGTATGATGTTTTTACATTTTACCCTATTTTTTAATTACATTTTGTAATATTTCTCCCATAGCAAAAACCCAGTGATATCATTATTAATTAATAATAAATTCTGAAAAATTATTACAAAAATTTAGATTTTTAAAACGTTTTTGAGGAAATTATAAAAAAAAAATTAAGGAATATTTAACATTTATATGTATACATGTAAAAAATTTTTATAAAATTTATAATATGCAAAATAATTCAATACTATTCAATACTATATATATATATTAAATAGAACACTTTAAAATTATCCATAAATATTCTGACAATAGTATTGAATTATTTTGCATATTATAAATTTTATAAAAATTTTTTACATGTATACATATAAATGTTAAATATTCCTTAAATTTTTTTTTATAATTTCCTTAAGAACGTTTTAAAAATCTAAATTTTTTGTAATAATTTTTCAGAATTTATTATTAATTAATTACTAGCTTTTCGGACCGCGCTTCGCGCGGTCCTCAAAGCCAGCCTTTCTATTCGGACCGCGCTTCGCGCGGTCCTCATATAGTCTATATTAAATCCGTTTTAACACAAAAAATTAATTCTTTTTTTGTATTACCGCGAACTACTTCCACATTTGTTGTTCGACTTTCACGAAATTTATACCAAAATAAATGTTTAAATTTTTTTGTGGATGACTACTATGTTATCTATTTCTTTCTCCCAGATATTTTATTTTCTTTTTTTAAGACACGCTTTCTCTCTCTCTCACTCTAAAACACACGCGCTCCCTCTCTCTCTCTTTAAGACACATGCTCTCTCTATCCTTATCTCTCTCCCTCTCTCTTTCTTTAAGACACACGCTCTCTCTCTCTCTCTCTCTCTCTGTGTGTGTATGTGTGTGGGGTTTTTTAAGTTTACGCTTCCACCCACGCATCCACCCACACAATCGCATATTTATGAACGGATTTTTTAAAAATTGGTACCAAAATGTTGCAAATTTTTGGCGACGATGTGGTTTTTTCAAGTGTTACACCTCCACCCACGCATCCACCCACACGCATGCGCATTTATGGACCAATTTTCACGAAATTAGTACCAAAATGTTGCAAATTTTTCTGAGAAAGCTGCTGTGTGGTTTTTTTAAGTTTTATCCCACCCACGTATGCACCCACGCATTCACACATTTATTCACATACTTTTTTGAAATTTGTAGTTAAATTTTGTTGGAGATGGCTACTATGATTTTAACAAATTTTTATCATCCTATTCATCCACCCACGCACCCATGCACCCATTTGCATACGCATTTATTGACTTGGTCACACCAAGAAGTAATTTTTAAAAAATTTGTGTACGTATTTGTGATTATGTGTGCAATTCGTGTAAATAAACCTTTAATTTGTATGCAATTTTCACGAAATTAGTACCAAAATGTTGCAAATTTTTGCAATCACAAACATGTACACAAATTTTTTTAATATTACTTATTGGTGTGACCAAGTCAATAAATGCGTATGCACATGGGTGCATGGGTGGATAAATAGGATGATAAAAATTTGTTAAAATCATAGTAGCCATCCCCAACAAAATTTGAGTACAAATTTCGAAAAAGTCTGTGAATAAATGTGTGAATGCGTGGGTGGGATAAAACTTTAAAAAACCACACAGCAGCTTTCTCAAAAAAATTTGCAACATTTTTGTACCAATTTCGTAAAAATTGGTCCATAAATGCGCACGCGCGTGGGTGAATGCGTGGGTGGAGGTGTAACAATTGAAAAAACCACATCGTCGTCATCTTCAAAAAATTTGCAACATTTTGGTACCAATTTAAAAAAAATCGGTTCATAAATATACGATTGCGTGGGTGGGTGCGTGAGTGGAGGCGTAAACTTAAAAAAATAAAGCACCAGCTTTGTCAGAAAAATTTGCAACATTTTGGTACTAATTTCGTGAAAATTGGTCCATAAATGCGCATGCGCGTGGGTGGATGCGTGGGTGGAGGTGTAACACTTGAAAAAACCGCATTGTCGCCATCTCCAAAAAATTTGCAACATTTTGGTACCAATTTAAAAAAAACGGTTCATAAATATACGATTGCGTGGGTGGGTGCGTGGGTGGAGGCGTAAACTTAAAAAAATAAAACACCAGTTTTCTCAGAAAAATTGCAACATTTTGGTACTAATTTTGTGAAAATTGGTCCATAAATGCGCATGCGTGTGGGTGGATGCGTGGGTGGATGCGTGGGTGGATGCGTGGGTGGAGGTGTTACACTTGAAAAAACCGCATCGTCGCTATCTCCAAAAATTTTGCAACATTTTGATACCATGTGTTCAGAAATATTGCAAAAAAAGATTTTTTTCGCAAAAACATACCCTCCTCTGAGAAAAAAAAATAAAAATAAAAAAATTAAAAAAAAACCCCACAGCAGCCACTCCCGAAAAATTTGCAACATTTTGGTACCAATTTCGAGAAAATCGGTCCACAAATGCGGAAGTAGTTCGCGTACAGACAGACAGACAGACAGACGGTGCTTATATATATAGATGAATTGTAAAATTCCTAAATTAATGAAATTTTGAAAATATAAATATTTTTACCAGAGAGCGTCCTCCGTATCTTCAATCTCCTCAGTTTCCTCCGTGTGTTGAGTCTCTGTTAGTTCATCGTTGCCACCAAGTGAATCGTTCTCTAAGTTTTCGTCATCATCGATCTCCTGCTCAGTCTCCACGATATCTTCAAATTCTGTAGTTTTCTGTAATCATAAAGTTTATTCTTTTTAGAACTAGTTGCACTGGTTCAAAGTTTATCTTTTTTTCTTTACATTGGAAGAATTATCAACTAAAAAAAATAAAAAAGTAAAAGTAAAAATAAGAAACACAGACCTCATCTTCGTTGTCTATTCGGCGGCGTCGATTTGGTGGGACGTCCTCCTCATTTTCTTGGCGCCGTTTCTTATTGTAACGCCATTTTCTGGTTTTAAGACTTTTTAAAGCCTTTTCCAGGGCGTCATAAAATTCGACGTTGTTGGGATTAATAAAATATTTGTTTGAGTTCATGGCATCTGAAAAAATATAGACAAAAAACACTTTAGTTTTGTATTCAATGACCCCTCCCCCCCCGCGTATTAATAAAAATTAACTTGATAAATACTTCAATTTTTTGGAGCAAATTCTTAAAGTTATACATATGATTATTACAATCATATATCTTTCAGAATTTGCTTTAAAAAATTGAAGTATAAGGTCATGATCATTTTTATTTTTACGACCCATAATAATTACATTTACGTCATCTTTAATCAAATTTAATAACATCCTAGTTGTTCTAATGCGTCATCTACAATAGGATTTTAAGATTTAAAATTTAAGAAATTAACCAATTGCAATTGACTTTAGAGAAGAATAATGAATATTTGTCAATTTTTTAAATCTTAAATTTCTTTCTTAAAGTCCCATTGTAGACGACATATAAGGTTGGTCAATGACAGCTGTTTTATTTTTTAGAAGAATGACTGTGATTAGCCTACCTCAAAACGGAAGTTACTAAATTCAATTAAGTTTGACGTGTAAACGTAATTAATGTAGGACACATGCACATCATACACTGACAGTATTTTTACAAACCTTGACATGCCTGAGCGAAGCGACTGTCCCGCAATTTACAGCCCCCTCGTTGTCCACTTTTTCCATTTAGAGTGAGGTGTGATGAAACCTCCTCGTCTTCTGGAAATACGCTGCGAAAATATTCCGCGGCGCAATCTATTGGATTGGCTCGTCCAAGATAAATGAAGTATCCCACCTAATACAAAATTTTTGATAAAGTGAAAAATTACTATATATATTTGTGTTAGAAAATATTATATTTCAAAATATATCCTTACCAAATCATTATAAATTTCTTCATCAACTTCTTCGAAGGCCAAGAAATCATCCACAGTTTTAAATGAGATCTCCTGTGGCTTTGTTGGTCTCTTCATTGTAGATTCTTTTAATAATCTTTTTATAGTTTTTGCATTTTCACTGTAAAAAAATAAAATTATGTAATTAATGTATTTATAAGTATTCAGTTTTGCTTGCTGTTCTTTAATAAAATCATTAATATACTTACTCGGTTTTATTTTCTATAGAAATTTGTCGTTCTTCCATTCAACGTAGTTGATCCATAATGATTCTAAAATGAAATTTAATGCCTTTATTCGTGCACATAAATGACTATTTTTATTGTAATTATTTTTAAAACTTACTTTAGAGACTGCATTATTTCCTTTTCTTTTATCAATTCTTCTCTATGTGTGGACAGGCGATGGCTGCGTACATCATGAACAAATGATCCTGATTGTGTTTGTTTCCTGTTTATTTGTTGTGATAGTGGTTTGAATGATGATTGGATGTTTTGCGTGAATGATTGTATAGATGCTGATGAAGACGAGCGTGACAATGTTTGTTTACTGTTTGTTTGTTGTGATGGTGGTTTGAATGATGGCTGGACTTTTTGCGTGAATGATTGTATAGATGCTGATGAAGACGAGCGTGATAATGTTTGTTTGCGTTGTACTGGTGTAATGTCTTGTGCGGATAATTGAGTGGTTACTGAAGGTGAATGTGATACAATGGATCTATGTTGTAATGGTGCTGATGGAGGAGGCATGTGTTTATTTGAGTGTTGTGATGAGAATGATGGTGATGGAACATGCAAGGATGATGATACTGGAGATTGTGAATGATACTTGGATGATGCTGAGGCTGCTTGTTTTTGTGTATTTTTGTGAAGTGTAGTTATGTTAGGTTTGTGTATGTGTTTTGTGCGGTATTTTTGATGTCCTTGTTTAATAATTGCAATGCAGACGCTGTCTTCCCTTCGGTGTTCATTCCTTTTCCTCTTCCTCGTCCTCGCTCTTGACTCATCTTTAAAAAAACTCTCCGCACATGTTCTTCCATAATTAATGCATTACGTTACATTCATTGATCGTAAATTTAAACCCGCATATAAACTTGAATCGACAAGAAAAATCGTAAAACTATGTTCCGTTTTTGTTTGTACGTTGTAGTAAGAGTTTATGTATGGATTTAAAGGCCTTAGAGAGAATGCACCTACTAAAATTAGAACTGATATTTCTAATCTACCTAATGATGTTCCTAATCCATAGTATGTAGAATAACTGCAACTACCCAGACATCAGTAATAGGATCTATATGCCTTTCAGTGTGCCAATAAGGTATACGGAAACACTTATTCTGCACTTCATTCAAATCTATTATAATAATTTCATCAGATAATAAAGAACATCGAAAGGTACCTACTGATGATGACAATGACAAACCAATATCATAAAAATCTTCAACTCTACAAAACTCTTTAACCGCTAAATGATAATGATCACGCAAGAAAATGATGCTCTGAACAAGACAAATCTTTGAATTTTTTAATATTATTGTATTATCCCGATCCTTTACTGATAGACGAAATTTTCCTGTGTCTAAGATCTGAAACTGGCGACTATCTAAGGGAACATTAAAAACTGTAGGACTAACCCAAGGTCTACCGGAATGTATGACTTTATTGTGATCATTCACAATTTTTTGTGTGATTTGTAAATTTTCATGTCGCCTATTTACAATCTGTTGCAAATGTTGATGAGGTTTACGGCAAGCTTTGCGGAAATACATCATATTGTTTTCGTATGGAAACATAGACAATTCATTTAATGAACCAAAACGTCTAACGTCATCTACGAGATGTAAAAGGCAATGAGTAATGTATGAGAGAAATTCTGGACCATATATATCTTCTGCTCTATTTACAAAAATGTTTAATGCTGTAGATGCAAAATCAAGACGGTCTTCTGATAAGGAAGAACTAAGCAAAACTCGAATTGCGGAATGTAATAAAAGAAAATGTTTGTTTGCAGTAGGATTTATAAGTCCGTAATAAATAACTGGGGCAGTATATAGAAGAAGTTGACGATTTTCCGTGGCCTTAAACCCTCCATATTTTTTCATTAATTGCGGTTTTCGTGAAAATTCCTTAGGGATGTAATTCGCAACTTGTTGTAGACGTGCAGTCATAATTTCAAGTGATCTAGCAGAAAGTTTTAAAGTTGGATTATATTTTCCATCGACGAGAACACTATTTATTTTGGGAACAACACCAAGACATACAGTATGCATGTAATCGAAAACCGTTTGAGTTACCAATCCCATCTCTAAAGGAAGCAGAGCAGATTCTGATTCAGTATGATGTTCTCCATCAATGTTATTTCTGTATTCTTCGTCTGTACGGGGCCTATGCTGAATACCACGATAAGCTACGCATTCACGACGAAGCCAATTTCCCCGAATCCAACATTTTGAACACGAAAATAGACTACCGTGACCTTTATGACCCAAAACAAAAGCTCGCGCAGGAGAATCAGCTATGAAACATCTTAATTGAACTATTTTTAGTTGATTACTGTGCGCGACGGAAGGCAGGATAAGGATGTCGGAAGCGAGAAGACGGCGAAGCACGACACTCGACAAAACGTATCGTTTAATATAACTATATTTTAACTAAAAACAAAGAAAAATACAAATACTGAAAACCGCACAGAATTTACAAAAAGTTAACGGATTAGGAGAATCCAAAAGAAATAGCCGAATCGGTAATTAATAATTAAACGTTCCGCAAGCAACGGTAATTAGACGTGGTAAAGAGAAAAAGACAAGCGATCTTTTTCAAACAGTAGCAACACACTCTTGACGCGACGAGCAATCGGAGAAGAGCGCCGCGATCACGAGAGAGGAGGCTTTTATAGGCCCGTGTTTCTAGAATAGTCGAGAAGAATCCTCTTTATTCTATCGTTTTGCTGAGGTCGAAAGAGCGTTTTGTGTAATTGTTTACTTTTAGAAAAATAATCTTTTTATTGTTATCGGAACTAAAGTGTATCTCCTCTCGCGTGACCGCGGTGTTTACAATTATCGGGGATTTAACGTAAGCGCTTTCTTTTCGCAGGCGCGGGGTATACGTATACCGGTGCGGCCGAGCGCTATTTTAAAGAATATTAATAAAAAATGATGCATGATGCATGTTGCATGTCACGATTTGCATGAGCTTTAACGCAATAATGTTCTTAGGTCTTTTCAGTTTACAATCAACCGTTCGATTTTCGAACAATTACGGAAAGCAATTCCTCCACGATTTAATACATCTCGAACTTCATCTACAAAATTCTGAAATAATTCTTTCGCGCTATTTGGTTTCGATGTACCTCGCCAAAGACCTACAATTTCAGGTTTACTTCGCGGAATATTTGCAATTCTAATTTGTATCGGCCACATTTGAATTTTGCCCTGCCCATCTAATGTCGCACCATCTGTACTAAAGCCTATCATTAAAGTGTCAAGTGGAATCAGATCCGGAGAAGTTTGCTCAAGAATGGAAAGAATTCCTGCCTCAAACCCTAAATGAAGATATTCACCTCCTGCAATGTTAAATGTGAGATGCGTGATCCGTGGAGTTTTTAAAAGCGTTCTACAATCTTTTGGCAATGTGGATAAACAGGGATGTGTTCGAACTACCTGTAAAACAGCATTTGCTTGCGCATGAGACATATTACTACGTACGAAGACTTCAGCAAGGCGTTCTTGAAAATTATCGCGAGTATTTTGAGGCTCAGTATCTAATGCATCATCACTATCTGAAGTAGATTTAGCAGCATCTGAAGAACTTGATGCCTCATCAAACTGCATATCATCAGATGATGCATTAGAATAAAATGCAATTTCCTCATTTCCTGGCTGACTAGATTCCGCAAGAATTTGACCTTCATCAACAAAGTCTGAATCGACTCTAGCACTGGCAATCTTTAAATTCTCCTGTAGAAATTCATTACGCGCATCTCTTTCTAATTTTTCTAAACGACGACGATGAACTGTAGATAATAAATGAAAAGGTTTGCGACTGCGCCTTTTCGCTAAACGAAACATATTGAAATAAAATATAAACGGAAGAAACGAATAAAAATGATAATGAGATGAAAAAAATGAAAAAGTTGAAATAAAGAAAGACAAAAGTTTGTAATCTACTTAAAATTTAAAAATATGTAACTTAAAAAGAAAAATACTATACTATACAAATTACACAAACCTCGTCCCTTATTTATTGTAAGTAATATCTCAGCCAGCAATCTAACCTGTGAATTAAGAAAACAAATAAATAGTGTATGGTATTGTATAAAATGATTGAAAATACATAGAAATAAACATATTTGTGTGCTAGTGTATTTGGAGACCACAGCTGGCTAGAAAAATTGAAAAATATATTACTATTAAATAATATTAATAATAATAGAGGGGGGAAAATGGCAGACGGGAAGGATAAGCAGGATTGTGAATCGTGAAGGAAAGTGGGAAAGAAGTATGTGAAAGGCGGAGGAAGGCGGAAAAAATGAGGGAAAAGAATGACGGGATAGTGAGTGAAGCGAGGAAATGAAGGACAAGTGGAGGAGGGCAGAGAGAAGAAGTTATACAGGAAAGAAAATTCAAATAAGATTGACGTGAACAAGGATGAGGATAACGTAGAAGAAGAGATGAAAAGCAGTAGCACGGGAGAATGATTAGGAGAAGGTAGGATGGAAAAGAAGGAAAGAAAGGAAAGGAAAAAGAAGGAAGGGAAGGAAAAAGGGCTTTCCAATTTTCTTTTGGATGGGGGATAAGGGAAGTCGAACGGTAAGAGTAGAGTAATGAGCGTGTGCTAGTCAGCGACGGATTAACACTAGAGGCAAACATAGGCATTTGCCTAGGGCGGCAAATTGGAGGGGGCGGCAAATTTTCGAAGACAGAAAATTTTCGAAAAAAAAGTAAAAAAAATAAAGAAAGTAAAAAAAAGGAGTGTAAAATCCTATCTGCAAACCTCCTCGTGGTGCACTTTGGGGTCGTGAAAATATTTAAAAATATATTACGTTTTCACCAGCTAATGCAGGGGTAACAGATCCCTCAGGGGCACTACAGACTCATCCCTGTAGTGTACGGGTGTCGCAATCCCGAGGTACCCGAGCTGGAGTGTGTGGTGATGGATGAACGAGGTGCGATGGGCGTGCAGGCCCTAAAAAGGACTTGTCCACTGCACTAGGTGAAGGAAAACACCGAAGATAACACCCGGGGGGGAGGCCCCGTTAGCTGAGTAAGGCAACCTCCTAAGGGGAAGGAAAACCCCCGACAGAAAAAACCAAATTTCTTTCTTTTTCAGATGGGATGACATCAAAGAAAAGAGACGACTTCCCAGGGTTGGATACTGGGAACCGGCGTGGGGGGGGGGTGTAGGCCTGGCTCCCCTCATGTCGTCATCATACGACAGGTCGTCTGTGGCTTTGCCGGCTGGGGCCACAGATGAGGAAGTGACAGTGCCGTGTGAGCTGGATATAGACGAAGTGGAGGATCAGCTCATCAAGGTGGATATAACCTTGGAGAGTTTAGAGCAGGGTGTCGACCCGAGTGAACTTGTGGTTGATGTTCACCGACTACTCCAAGATAAAGACATACGCGAGTTTCGGTTTCTTGGTGTGTATATAAAACTTGCCAAGAATACCGAGAGATTCTTGCTGGACTGCGTAAATGGCAAATCACCGTTTTGCCATTTACATAAGTGCGTGCGGTCTTTTGACCCTATCGAACTCAGTGACTCAGAGGTGAGTGGGTCCGGGGAGTCGGGGAGGGTCTCTTCTTCAGAGATTCCTTCGCCGGAAAAGATCCGTGGTGAAAGTGACGGTGAGTGCGAACCGGAGGTGAGCTTCATCACGGTCTCTTCGCCGAGTTCACCGGA